ATTATTGCTTTCGCCACTATTTATATATTTGTAATAAAAAAAATTGTTTTTTTTATGAAGTTTATTTTCAATTTAAATCAATAATTCATAAAGAATATATATTTTAGTTGTAAACTAAATACACTTTTGCTGCTTAGACTTTTTTATTTACATATGAGCAATTCAAAAGTTTTATATTAAAGATAAAAATTAATAAAAAAGGAAATAATTCTTATAAGATATAATAACTCTATTATGGCTACAATAAATATATATCCATCCAATATATTATATACAAAGTTATATATTACAACAATTAATTATTGTTCTTATTAAATGCAATTAAAATATGCTCCAATTATTATAAAATTTAAAATTTATTCTGGATCATTATTTTAATTATTATATTATATTTATAAACATTAAAAAGACTGATGTTTACAATGCTGAATTAGTAAATATTTTAACTTTTATTAATTAGCTATATTAATTTTTTTCTGCTTTAGAAAAATTTACTTATTATTTTAAATATATTTTTATCAGTATCTACATCAAATTATTCTTTGTTTAGAAAGGTCTAATTCTCTATAAAATATTATTCGATATACATTATACAAGTTTAAACGATTTAAACTATTATTACAAATTTGATTAATATATCCTACACATAATGTAATCTAATTATGTCATTAAAAAAAGTATAAACTTGGATACAAGTTTAAAGTAATCTTTTTAATATTTACATACAATATGTATAAAAGACTTACATATAACATTCCGTAATTCATAAGCCGATTATTTATATTCTGTGCCAAAGCAGAAAATTCTGAACTTCAATTGTTAATTACAAATTTGTCTACATTCTAATCAATAGAGTCTCTGATAAAGATGATATTTTATTTTTTCTCGTTGCGCCAAATTAAATCAGAATCAAAAGTTTTGAATTAGATAATAGATTAAGCCTATAAAAATTAACCTTAAAAGAAAAAAACTTTAATTTATATATTTTATTATTAGTGATTGATGTTTGCATAGTTTTCTTATTATATCCGATAAATATGGTTAAATTTATTAGCGATTTAGCTTTAAACAAGTAGCAGCTTTTATTTTTAATTTTTAAAAATAGTAGCTGAAGGAAACTATAATTAAAAGTAAAGCCATAATAAATACTCATACTCATACTTATAACAATAACAACAATCACAATGGTATAGTTTCGTATAATCGCTTGGGAGTTATAAGTATAATTATTATAATTATGATAATTAGGCGTAACAATGGCACTTGAGTTTGATAAAGTCATAGATCAGATAAAAGCTGTGAAGAACAGACAGTCAAGTCTCTTACTTTATTTCCCCAAGTATTATCAATTACTAATATATTTACTTTTCTTAGCTGGTGCTAATGTCTTGTTTAATTCTCTCGTAATTATATGATACTTACTCATTTTTATAGCGGTATACCTTTAGAAAAATACATCAAATACAAGTT